ATTTAACAAAAATATTTCAGCTGTTCCAAAAGAAATCTTCATGTCTTTCTAACAAAATATTCAATGTTAAATTATATTGTGTAACATCCTGCTACTTCAACATTACAGTTCAACACATCACTTCAAACTGATAAGATTCAGAATCGATACTTTCAATAAAACAGACCAACATAACTGTGGACGTTGGGCATAAAAATGTATGGGAAAAAGAAATGAAATATCAGAATGTTCTTGTGTCATTTAACTTTCAGTTTCCTATTTACCAGTTTGACAGTAATCTATTCAACGTTGAAAATACTAAACATAAGCGAAACCGTTTCACCTTCTCTATTGGACAAACGCGAGAAATAATATTAACTGCAATTGTTTCAAGTAACCAAGCAGAAGAAGCGTTAACACGAACGGGCGTAAATAATATTAAAAGACAAAACTATTTCAGCTTGCACTCTGTAATTTCTAGAAAAGTAAAAACGTGTTCGTAGGAATGTAAAAAAAAAAGCAAATACAAGTACCCCATTCTGAGACGTCACCAATGTCGGCGTGAAAGTACTTTTTATTTTCAGATCAACCTTGCTCAGTTGCCTCTTCAGACTGAATCCTTTTTTCCACCCGTGATTCTTGGCACAGTCTTCTTCGCTCGGCGCGCATCCCGGTTTACTGGTTTCACTCGCGGATTCGTCGACGTTCCCGGGTTTCTCGTTACCGCTTCCGGTATGCGATTCACCGCGAACCGGGCATTGTTGCTGCGACTGTTGCGCACCGTCGCCGGCTACCGTCGCTAACAATCCCTCGGATTTCACGGTAGCCTCTCCGAGATTCTGATGAATTTAACATGTTGGATTTTTGCACAAATGAATCAATGCGGTACCAGATAAAACGTGAAAATTGTTTAATTCTAAACACTAGAAGCAGATTACCGTTTACTCTATGCGTTATTATACACAGCGTTGTTATAGTATATGTTAGTAACAGCCGTTAGTAATTCTCTCCTCGCATGTTGCGAAATTGTTAAAACAATTAGTGGGCATATAATCTTATAAACGTAACCGTTTCGTATACTACGTTTGACACAATACACTGTACCTATGTGTGCTAGTGCTCTGTCCTAAGTCTACATACGTAATTCTATGACCGTATTGGATTTTCGATCATCAAACGAAGAAATATCGCAAACGCATGGTCACTTGTCACTTCCCAAATTGAACGAACTTCCTCGAAATGGTTGAAAATGAAGAGTGCAGACGAGGGAAGATATATTTGAAGAATACTTTACACAATTTCCTTCTTTAAACGCCTTTTGTAATTAATTAAAAAGTACCTAAGATGCTCATAGAAACGATTTCTTAATAAACATTATGTTTATTCTATTTATCGTCGATTAAATGTATATAATTATGCTTTCCCAAAAAGCCAATAACTCATTTTTAAATTAATTCAACTTGAGTGATAATGGCATTAATTATCAATAGGTATCGTTTAAGTAACAATTTATGTAAAACATTTATTTATTTTAATATACGAGATCTTCGAATTGGCTTCTGAGAAAGCAAATATCATTACATACAATTTATTCTATGTATAGAGGGTGTCTACAGATTTTCCGACACTAACTAGAAATGTACGCCTGACGTATGCCTAATACATATGAAATAGTCACAAGTGGTGATATTAATAAATGTGTGCATCGTTATTCAGTGGTATATACATCTGACAACGTAATCTTATACTATAATGTACACGACCCACGTAGATAAATCTGTATAAAAAACGTTAACTTCAGATTTATATAAAAAAAGAAAATATTGTATAACCATCACTTTCATAGTTAATTATCAATTCATTGTCATTTTTATCACAAGTATTTGCTCTTTTTAAAAGTTTCTAAATACAAGTATTACTCAAATAGCAGAAATAATTAGCTGTTTGTAATTATTGCAACGTACTGCTTTCTTTCTCATAAAATACATCTAGCGTATGTACGTTGAACAGCGTTTACATTGTACTCGTTATTATAGCAAGCAGCCTAAATTTAATTCATTTAATTGAGATTAAATACTACTTCAAGCAATTCTATGGAAAAGTTCAATTTACTTTACTCATTATATTCGTTCAAGTGAACAGTATTTCAAATCACCTGCTATAATCGTCAGTACTTGATAAAGAGTGTAGTTTATCGCGGCGATATACACGCGTAGCTGAAACAGTTCATAAGTTCTCATTATAATCGTCCATTTTCCAACTAACGATACTATTTAACACGACCACTTAGTATACTTC